CCCCCCCTCCAGCACTTTGCTGAAAGAAGCAGAGCATTACTTCAATCTAGCTCTGCAGCGTCAATAAAGATTGGGTGCTTCAGCATGACTTTTTGATGCTTTTAGTTAATAGTTGATTCAATCGGCTATTAGATAAAAGTGCCAAAAAAGCCCCACTAAAGTGCCCAATATTTACAGATGTCAGGTGAACTGGGTTGAAGTAATGTGCTGCCTCTTTTGGACATATCCGGGACTCAGTGCAGGAACGTGACGAGTTTAAAATAAAGCGCTGGGTTTATTTCTTTATTTATTTTAATTCTGCAAGCACCTATAATCTTTAAGGGAAGCCAGGAGATCCTTACTTAAAACATATACATTTATAGAAGGCAGATTTATATCTATATTCCTTTTTTTCACTTGTCTACTGACCATCAATAAACTGTAGTGTTCCAAGGTCCATTGGTAAGGATTTGTCTTCCTGTAGTGCCATGGCAACCAGCTTCTGAAGATCTGTTATTGTGAGTTTAATTGGTGCTATTTCTTCTTGCTCCTTTGTGGTAAGAGGGTTTTTTCCGCTTTCAACTTTATTTGAGCCAATAGTTGGGAGATCACGCCCAGATCCTTTTACTTCTGAGCTTTCTTTCTCAAAATTTACAATATATCGTGCTATGGTGCTGCTTGACCTGCAACGCAAGAGTACAACAATGTCCAACAACAAGATAATGATTTGTGTGTCAATGAAAATTTTTGCATAGGATTGTTGTGGGTTCCCAGTATACCAAAAAGATTCCATCAAAATTATGTAATTACACTTGTCTTTGTTTCTTGTTATCTAGATGATGCTTCCACATTACTTTTACCATCACTGAGATTTTAAAATTATATGCACAAACTGATGGGCTTAAACTATTAAAGAAAAATGTATAAATTTGAAATTAAATGTTAGCTTGTGTTCTTCAGAGCTGATGAGAGAGGCCATTGCACATGAAGTCTTTTATTCTAGGCCACTAGATCAAACACTAAGTCCATGCTTGCAATGACTATATAGCAGTCTATGTGAAAAGGTCTGATGATCTTAATTTAGTTTATAGAGGACATGTGGACATTGCCACAGGTTCCATCTCAGCAAAAACTATTGCCTCTCAAGAGAGCAGCCAAAGATATGTGTACAAGGCAAATTAGCCTTTTAAATGTCAAGTTACTCTTTCCACATCATCACTGAAGCATATAGACAAAGAGCGTTGTCATAACTGTGGTCAAGCAGACCTACTCCAATTGTGATCACAATTGTTGGAATATGTATGATGGTTTATAAAAACGTCAAAATCATTTATAATGATAAATGCTGGTAGAAAAGGAGTGGACTGAGCTAGTTCAAACAAAAAATGTTGACTGATACCACCTGAGAAATGTCCAGATCAAAAGGAGAATGGAATCAGAAATGGAGAGGCCAAAATTGGTTAACATTTCTGACACGGGAGTCTGTATAAAGATGTATATTCTGCTTCTGTACTGGATGTACTTGTTTAACAGCTAAAGTAACATACTTGTTTAGATTAATTTGACCTCTTAATCTGTCACTTACGCAGCAAATTTACATAATCAAAAACTAACAAAAAGGTCACGCCACATGAGTGCAGATGTTTGATTCTCCAGGGACAACTAGTGACAGGACACCTTGTGCTGCTGCTAGTTGTCCCTGGGGAATACCTGTACCATGCGCTCTCTGGTGTGTGGCAGGTTACCCTGGGTGGTGTAGGGGAGTCTGGGGCCAGCACTGTACTGGCCCCAGCAGCCTTACCTGGGGGCCTCCTGGGGCTGCAGCAGCAGCAATCCTGCCACATGGACCATAGCTGGCAGCCAAAGTATTGCTCCAGCTGGCCAGGTTCTAGTTTTGAGAATTGCGTGCTGCCCCTGCATGTGCCTGCACCACTTTTTTTTGTATGTGGGGTTTTTGACCCCAAGATGTCCAGGGGTCAGACCCCCCACCACCTCCTCCCTCCACGCTGCTCCCTTACAGTGCAGAGAATAGCTGAATGTGCGGTGTCACCACGTATGGTATGGCCATAGACCATGTATGTGGCACCATAGATGTGTGTGTGTCACCACATACAGCATGGTCATGTTCATCTGGATGTGGCCATAATTTCTAAAACAAAATACAATTTGTTAAACAGTTTTCTGCAATGATGGATAACCGAAGGGAGAGGAATTGCCTTATCTGGTATGCACTATATATTTACATTTATACTATGTGGCAAAAATCCAGCTAACAGGGTAGGCAATTTTTTGTTGTAAATTATATGTAAACTATAAATCTTATTATCCACAGCACTCTTACGTACTACGGAAAGATTCTGCAGCTTATTACAGGTGTTATATTACTAGGCAAGACCACTGTGCCTGTTATTAGACTATTCTCAACAGCACAACTAGTCTTTCTGTACTTTTATTTGACTTGGGAACTGAAGGAGCAACTCAGATCCAAAAAGAACAAGCAAGCAGCTGACCATGACAAAAATACTACTTTAAACATAGTTTCAAGTATGCCGTTTTCCCTATTTAGACCTCATGGTGGGTGGGAGGTATCTTTAATTGTTCAAATCAATGCTAACTTGCTTATCTAGTATAGCAGTTTAGGATAAAGCATTTTTCTGTCCCTAAAGAGGTACCATTTGAGCACACACATTTTTCAAATGAAGCCAAAAACCATGCTACTAATTTATATCCCAGGTTCTGTAAGACAAAATTAATTCACTTTGCCACATTAATGCATATTCATTACAGCAAAATAATTTACAATTTTTTTTTAAAGAAGCTTGTAGCCACATTACCCATCTTTTTCCTTCTTCTGTCTTCATTTCATCACACAAGATGTGGCATGATACAGGATTGCATAAGAAAAAAAAAGAGATGCATATAAACTAGTATGCTATGCAATCATACATCAGAAACATTTCAAAAGAATTTGTTTTCTACCTGTCTTATAATCCTTATTTTAATGCAAAAATGACAACCTGCTTTTGATCATTACATTTTCCTCTCTAGATGATGGCCAAGTTTGAGCTGAGAAGGGGAACAGCAGCTTCGCTGTATGGAATAAGCTGAAAGATTTACTTCCCCATTTATTCTACAAGTGATGCCATTTGTGGTGCTGTCACTGCTAATCTGCACCTTTACAGTGGAGTTCACTGCGTTCTATAGAGAAGCTACTGAAATACGGAACTGAAATAATATTTGGCTGCTATCCAAATCTGAGTCTCAGAGGGAACCTGACATTAATTATCTGCCATGTACACTCCTGCAGGAGTGATGACATTTGATAGTGCAACAGCAGAGAAAAGATTGTCTTTATTTCCCTGGTGAATCCTCTGGTCCAGTTGTAATGGTGTCCTCAAGCTTCCATATGAATGCAATTGCCCTGTACCGAACTTCTGCAGCACACTCAGCAAAGCAGCCTTCCAATCAGTTAAGGAAGAATGAGCTAGAACCCTTTTAGAACATATCACTGTTGATCCATAATACTCTATTGTTGCAAAGGCAATGCACTTTCTGCCTCCTTCAGATTAGTCATTGTGCTGTCTGTGGACTTAGAGCAAGATAACAGGACAAGAACTGATCTCTGAACTTTTGGAGCCCTAAATTTGACATTTGACAGGGTATATTTTGACATGCTTTGGTCCTTAAATGGCAGCTGGCTTGGTTGGAATGTACTTCAGTAGAAAATGATAAACAATGCAATTTTCAGAATGAAAGCATATCCCAGCTCTACGATTTGTCCAGTAAAAGATATCACCCTAAGAAATCCTTGCCTCTAGCATATTTTTAATGTACTATTGACAGGTTTTTGGAAAGACTGTGAGTTGCTGCAGGGCAGTTTGCTACAGATGCAGATTTCTGTGT